GGCGGAATTATACCAGGTGAAGTAATTAGAGCGAGAAGAAAGATTTTGAGACTGCCTTATTTGAAAAATTGCCTTTCAAATTTGACTGTAAGGCAGCCGAATGTCAGAAAATAAAGCGAGAAAGCTTCATCGGTTTACTTCATCTGTTTATTGCGCCATGGTTCCATGCAAACATTTTAAGGTTTTGCAGCAATGCTTTCAACATATTAAAAATCATAGGAAACTTTTACTGGTTTTGCGTTCTCGTACCCAAAAAAATTGCAAAGTAGGGGAAATTGAGAGAGCAAAATGTGATAGAGGGCTGCAAATTTCTGCTGGAAAAATTTTTCCTAGCGAAAACTTGTCAATAAGAAAATCAGCTGATCACAAACATATGTTTATAAATAAACAAAAGAAAATTTGAATTATTTATGGCAAATTTTATTATTAACGCTAGTATAGTAAAATGAGAGTAAAGTTATTAAGTACAAGGTTTGTTGAGTGCTGACTATGGTTGCCGTTTGTAATTTTTCGTTTGTGCCATAATTGTCCTTTAAATATACCAAAATAGATAAAAATGCAGCAGGCTGAAATTTTATTGGCCGAATTTGTGAGTTTTCGTAGGCTGATTGTTGAAATTAGAATTTTATAATTTTAAATGTACATTTGTAGATATCTACTAATTTTTTTGAATGTGCCATGATGTATCACAAATAATTTTGATATTTCATTCGTTCCGATATAATAAATTTGTATTTTAAAAAGGTTTTTCGATTTTAAAAGTATGCAATTGTATAATATGCGAAATCGGGGAAAATGTCCCAAGCAGAAAATAAATTGCCATATGACCCACCAGTGGCAACTGTGGAAGTGATCAGCTGTTTCGAAGGCTGCAAGTTTTTGCAAATTTCGCGTTCTCGTACTTTTGTGCATATCTTGCATAGTTGCCAACTTGGTGCTTTAAGCCCTAGATTTAGTGCTCTTTGAAAATTAAATCGCAAAAAAAAATTATTTAGTGCCTAGTGCCTTCTTTAGTGCTTTTTTTCTGAACTAAAATTACTCCGATATAGTTAAAACCTGAAACCATTTTTAAATTTTTAAAACTGTGGCAGCACTGAATTTACAAAAATCTACAAATTTAAATGCACTTAAATACAACCATGATTGATAAAAAGCTGAACTTGCAAATTCACCTTGTTCAATTCTATTAGCGTTGAAAATGCTAGTAGATATGCGAGTAAGTTAAGTATTTCTTTTTTTCTTTTCTAATTAATATTTGTAAAAATTTTTATTTTTGTACCACCTGAGTAAAACATCGTTTCTTGGTGCTGAATTCAAATCTGGCCGCACAATTGCTCTAGCAGTAGAATTTTGGGATATCCTAACCTCAAAGTGCCAAAATCACGGTTGTTGGCGAAATTTGAGGTTATATAATGAAAACTAAATTTTTTTTGCTCATTTCTACTTAGGGCATGATTTTCGTTTGTTGGGATTCGATTTTTCTTTCTTGAGATACATATATCAGTTTTAATGTGCAGTACTTCGGTATTACGTCGTAAGCATGAGTCATTATAGCATGTGGCTTTTCAATCGTTATGAGCGAAAAAGTTTTGTGTAATAATTATGTATGCATTCTTGTAAATATTGTTAATTTTTTGTTTTTGTTAAATACATACCAACTGTTATGAAAAAAGCATCCGTTGATTCAAAACCATTTGGTGCTTTTAGTGTGGTAAAACGCTTTTATTCCAAGTTTTTGGTGCAAATCAAAAGTTGGCAACACTGATATCTTGTTTCCTTGAGAGCGAATGCTGCTAAATTCTCAAAATTTTTTCTGCTGGATAATTTTGTCCTCTCAATACGAGTACACACCTCATGCAAGGCACATAAATACAGGTAGAAGCCAAAAACNTTTATTGGCTTTGTTGTTACCTGAGCTTATAAATATCCCATGAGTTCTTCAAAAGTGTATTAACTTAAAGTTACCCGTTTGTCAGAGACAGCAAATAATCGGGCAGGTTCTGGAGTTCACTTCTGAGTGAATTTCAACTCCTGCCCATTTGAATTCAAAGCGAACTTGACTCAAATTCACTCGGAAGTGAATTGCAGAACCTGCCGGTATTATTTTGTCAACCATGAGGGTAAGTGAATCTTCAATGTGCTTTCGTGAAAAAAATTACAGTACATTACAGCTCCAGTGAAATTATAAACGTTGTTTGAGCACTCCACAATATTTGCATTTAGTATAGAGTGGAAGATTTGAACGCAAATGAATTCCATTTTGAAAGCCGTCAGGAGAAGCGAACCTCTTTTTAAAAAGTTAGTAAAAACGAGTACAATAATAAAAACATCTTTTTTATATACCTCCACATTTTACGTACGAATGTATGTTATATAAAAAGAATAAATTTGTTGATTTGAAGAATAAAATGTTGTGGAGTGATCAAACGACGTTTATAATTTCACTGGCTTTGAGTGGTGAGTAATGCAGTTCAAGATGGATTTCACATAATTCTTCACTCATCTCAAACAGCCTCATTGCGTAAGTCGTAAATTAGGCTGAATTGTACGACTCGACAACATTAGCATTGTCTACTGTCGTGCTGAAATAAGTAAACGACGAAAATTGTCGAAAACTATGCAGTGCTGCCAAGTTTTTCCGTTTTAATACACTAGTCGAGTGGAAATTTTAGGCAATGGCACTAAATTTTCGATACGATTCGACTCTCGAAAAACGACTTGCATTCGGCACGACTCTCGCAATGAGGCTGAACATGATCAAACATGTCTCTAAATCTCCGCCTTTCAACTTTCGCATAAGCAATCTGGGACTCGTTCTGCGCTTCAAGCAATAGAATTATGTTTCCACTTAAATTAAGAACAAACGAAATTTTATTTTTAAATTAAAATGAGTTAGATAAATTTAGTTATTTTAAAATATTTACAAATTTTAACTTCATAAGCTGCTGTAGTTTGGTGGCAAATTACAATTTTAGCGGAGCGGAATGCGGGCACGTAATCGAAATCCAGAATAGGGCTGAGTAATTTAGAGCAAGTTGAGACTAAATTAGGAAAATTTAAATACATTTAAAAAAAATGTGACATTAGGGACAAAATTGCAGGCGGTCCAAAAATAGCTATTTCTCTGTCATAATTACCGTTCCGCGAAACATAAAACGATTTGGGGAGTAATAATTCGGAGAAATCCATCATATCAATCAAACAGTAAATTTTGAATTTTTGATTGGCGACGAGATTGTTACGCCTTTTTGCATTTCAGGTGACGATATATAAGAGGCAAAATTCGACAAGTGTACCAGGAAAAACATTTTATGGCAGCATTTTTTTCAAACTCCAAGCGCCAATCTGTTATTAATTCTTAAGCAGCCAGACTCATCCGTTTGGCCAAACATCCCCCAAACACCCTTCATGTGTATGTGCATAGTTGTCGGACTGATGGTTTTTATGAAATATTTGCAAGTTTTAAAGGTAAAATTTTGTTTTTAGCAAACAAAAAAAAAAATCGTTAAAAATCAACGCGATTTTTTAGTCGGCTGAAACTTGCACTTCCTCAGACTAAAATTGTGAGGGCTATAAAACCGCATACACAGCACTGCATAGACATCAGAACCAAATCAGACAAGAAATACGGGTTTTCCAAACGTCTGGTCTCCTGCGCCACCTATCGGGTAAATTCTTTGTGGAGTTATTTCTTTTCATGTAAGTAATATGCTGCCGCTGTGCTGTAGTGGTTAGCAGTGCGCGCTACTATTCCGCAGGGCCTGGGTTCAAGCCCAGTTTCCGACCAACATCAAAAAATAAACAATCAAAGAAGTATTTCCATTTTCGTACCAAGGCTATTAAGTGCACCGAGTTTTGGTAGAAATTTATAAATCGGTTACCGATACAGATACACATTTTTGATCACAAGTGGGCGGCGCAACGCCAAAATAAAAAAAAAAAACTATAATCAAATTTCCTGCTAAGCGGTTATTGCAATTATCGATTTTAGTCAATTAGCTTCAGTAGTTACTGATTTATCGCAGTATTCTTATTTCTGAAAATTACCGTTATATGGGAAGTGGTCGTGGTTACAATCCGATTTCGCCCATTTTCAAAACCTACCTTGGAAAAGGGCAACCTATATACCAAATTTCGTTCAGATATCTAAATTTTTGCTCGAGTTATCGTGTATGCAGTTGGACGGACGGACGGACGGACAGACAGTCATGGCTTTACCGACTTCTCTCTTCATTCTGGTGGGAGATTCTGTAACCAGTTAGCGATAATTTTCCGATCACTATCGCACTTGGTATGAATGTGCGATACCGATTCGAAAATTGTCGCTAACTGGTTACAGAATCTCCCCTCTGATAATTTATGTATACATTAGTCTGCAGTTTCAAGTCTCTAGCCCATCGGGAAGTTGGTTAAAAATTGACTGAAATATTTGATTAAAAACACGTGAAACATAATAAAAGCTTGTAAAAATTAGGAGGTTATCAATTGGTCGGAATATATTTTTCCCCACCAGGGGGTAAATTACAGTTATACCGCCGGGAACTACCTGACGCTGATGGCCACGCTCTTTTGCGAGTATAGCAGCTTCCTTGATTATAGCGTATCGTTATTAGGAACGGAGAATATAAAAACCAAGGGTTTAACTTTCATCAGTGGTAAACTGGGTATGCTTACGTACCCACGATTGAGAGAAATAGAGGTTGCGCCAATCACGGTACCGCTATTCCTCTCTCAGTGAATTTGACAGAATCGTTGTTTGTATGACGTCACACTTGTGCAACTTGTTTGCGTTTTCCTTGCAACATTTTTTCTTCTTCCATTCTTGCTTACGTTTTGGCATTTCTCTCTCGCAATCGCACCAGTGTGACGTCACACAAAATTTATTCTCAAAAATCCTCTCTGATAGGCGCAATCTTGTATTCTATCGTTCTTGTTACGTGCCTGTCTGTAGCATAAATAGCCAAGTTTTATTCATCAAACTTCAGTAAAACTGCACATTCGTTTCTTTTCTTTTGTATTTAAATTTCTTTCACATTGGCCAACATATTTTTTAATGTAAATTAGGATAATGGAATCACTATAATGTTAAAAAATAGTTGCTTCTATTTGGTTAGTATTACTCAACAATTTATATGTAATAGTTTATATTTATTTTTAGAAATAACATGTTTTATATATATCTGTTTTATTCATAAATACTAAGAACCCCATTTGTAGTACTACATACATTATTAAGCGTGCTGTTAGCAGTAATTTGGAAATGTTACCTTTGAAAGTAGTGTTAAAAATATTTCATGTATGTATACCCCAATACATATACATATTTCATTGCATTTAGATTCACTAAAAATTTAGAGTGCAAACAAATTTCTTTAACTTTCTCTATTACAATGGTATTTGAATTTGATTTAACTTTTCAAATTTATTATAAATTCGTTTGCATTTTCGTATACTTATACTTATATATTTCCATGATATTGTTAGCACAGTTACATATAAGCCATCTACGCTTAGGAAGAAAAGCCCCTTGAGACAGCGAGAGCTCTTCGATATTCTCTTCGAATTTGAAAGTAGGTTTAATTCTGAATATGGAAGAAAAATAATTTTAAATGCACGCATGTATGTATGTATGTATAACATTGATTTTGCATAAAAAGTTTTACAAGACTTGTTTACAATCTAAAACTTATGCTTAGTTTAAGCTATTTGATGCCGTGCAATATATATAGTTTTTTATTTATCAGTTACCTTTTTAAAACGACTTGAAAAATGCTATTAGATTGATTACTGCAGTGTTGACACCTTCGCACACCCCTACAACAACTGTTTAACCCATTCCTAATCAGTTATATGTATATGCTTTTTATCTTACAGATGACCGCTCTGACAGTTGTTCACACACGCCGCGTTGATTCTGTTGCTCTTCGCTGCTTGTGTGTTATCTTTGCTTCATTCGTCTTTTTTGTGTGTAATTAGCGCGTCCGCCATTTCTTCCTTAGACTGATCTTTATCTCCCCAACCCCAAGTCGCATGAGAGCCATCGCCAGTGCGTTTGACGCGCTTTTCGATGATGTCATGTGACACCTGCTTTAGATCGTAGGCCCAGCCGATTTTGGCAAAGAAATCAATAAAAGCCGTGGTAATATTCAGGGAATAATCGCCAAGTTCAGCCGTTTTGTAGTCCCATGGAAATACATGATGATAATTGTGCCAGCCTTCACCGAAAGCGAAGATGGCTACCGATTTATTTTCTGATGGGTTGATAAATCTACGAAAAAAACATGTAAATAATAATTTTACTATATCTAAACAAATGGAAAACAAATATTTTTTTTTTCAAGTCTGAATGTGGAATAGGTTAGTATTCGATTCGAGAACTAGACCAGCAAAAAGGGAAACTGCGTTATCCAATGTATTTTCCCTTCGTTATGAATTCGAAATTCCCCCCATTATCGAATTGAAATTTTAATGAGAGAGAGTGATTGTCTTATATTTCCCTTCAAGAATTTCACTTTCCCTCTTGTTACTACGGTTTTCAGTTTTTTTTTCGAACCCATTTCCAGTGTATTTCCAATATACTATGAACGTTGGAAAATTAAGGTTGGTTATGAGCAGGGCTCGGAATCTCATGAAAATGCCTGTTTTTATTGGGCATCTTCAAATGGAAATGGTTAAGTTATCTTTACGAATCATGAAATTTCCTTTAAAATGGCATTCAATCGTTATTGCATATTTTTGCATATTTTGCAGTAAATGCATGGTTTTGCATATTTTCCAAAAATACCTGTTTTTGCATACATATACCACATATTTTAGTATATTTTACAATAAATGCATATCGTCGTTTAAAGTACAAAACCGCTGCATATGTCAGTTACGCGGTTTTGCAGAATGACGATACGCAGTTTTGTACTTTAAACGAGGATATGTTTTTTCTGCGCATATTTTTGCTTTTTTTGATTTGCCACTATTTAAATTTAGTGCGAAATCTCTGGGCACAAAAAATACCTATAATTTGTTCCGAAATATTCATCTAAATATTTTCTCGGATACCAAAGCGGCCATTAAAAACTCTCTTCTACCTCTGTTAGATCTCAACTATTNGGATATGTTTTTTCTGCGCATATTTTTGCTTTTTTTGATTTACCACTATTTAAATTTAGTGCGAAATCTCGGGCCACAAAAAATACCTATAATTTGTTCCGAAATATTCATCTAAATATTTTCTCGGATATCAAAGCGGCCATTAAAAACTCTCTTCTACCTCTGTTAGATCTCAACTATTGGCGGACTGTTGGAGAGAGCTGGGGCGGCTACTCTGTAATTCGATGCGAAGGAAAAATGCGATGCGATAGGCAATCGCACAGCGTATTACTTACGAGTATTTGCCTATCGCCCCGCATTGCCTTTTCGTATCGCATTATGTACAGAGTCCGGCCATAAAATATTAGGGAATTATTTTTAATTGTATATTTTACTCGTTTATGGTGAATGCTTCTAAATTTTGGGTACATATTATATGCGCATATTCCAGATTTTTTTGTGCATGAGATCCCGAGCCCTAGCATATGCATATTGGATATTGAACGCCATTTTCGAACGTTCGCCACAATGTTTATTGGGTATGTACATCATATACATATGTTCATATGTATGTATGTACATATACCCGTTAAGGATAGATAGATTAATAGATAAGGAGTGCACATACTTGTCGTAGGGCTTTCCTCCGAATTTATGTGCAGCGCTATTCACCAGCCAAGTCATATTCAAAGTGAAACACCAACGGAACATAGCAGCAACAAACCATGAATTGACGAAATTCTCATTCCATACGTACATAGGAATCGTGGTGGGCAACAAGAAGCACAAAATCGGCATCAAAATCAAATAATATCTAGAACATCAGAAATACCTATTAGTATACATAAATTTCTCTAGTGTAAATCCATATTTTACTTACTTCTTCTGGAACATTAAAATCGGATCAGCGCGCAAATCGGACAAATCCACGCCTTTGCCTTTGGCTTTCACCAGGGGATGTTTTTTGCACATTAACCAACCTACGTGAGAGAAGAAGAAGCCCCGTGTAGCATTATGGGGATCAGCATCGGTTTCCGAATATTTGTGATGTACACGATGATCACGTGCCCAGTGGTAGGCTGCATCCTGGAAGGCGATTGTATTGAAAACCATCAAAATCAGACGTAAGGGCCATTTGGCCTTGTACGCACGATGAGCCCAAAGGCGATGAGCACCGGCTGTTATACCCAGTCCAGAAATCAAATATAAGAACAGTGCTGTGAAGAAAGCAAGACACAAAAAACCAGATTTAATATCCACAATTCTCAAGCGGCTAAAATGCGTTCTAAGCAAGCATAGAGTGAAAAGTTGATAAGTCCAGTCCACATTTTATGAAAACTCATATTTTTATATAGGAAACAAGAGAAATTTTAGAAGGCTTAAGGCACTTGTTTTATTTTTTTCGCTTATATTCAATGAAGGCCAATTTGCTAAGCCCAAAAGAGGCACTGAAAATTCAACATGGCCAAAATAATACGAAATCTTTCAATAAAAATCGAATCCTTCCGATTCGTATGGAATTTTGCTTTGAGTAATAAAGGAGAGAGTACAAACTAAATTTCATCGAAATCGAATGAATTTTAACGTGGCAAATTTCAGCGAAATCGGTGCACGTTAATCATCATTTCCTCCGTTGTTTTCCATTTGAGATAAATTGTATTTATTCTTTTCATTAACACCAATGCCTTCCCGTAGAGACAAACCATTGGTTTAAAATTTTTACACCCAAGCAGAAATGCAATTGAAATGAAATTGAAATTGAATTGAAATGGTCAGGAAAAATTCGTTCAGCCAAATTTTCTTAAGCAGTACGAAGTTCTTAAGAAATTTGCTATGCTTTCTGCTATGGTTTGCTAAAGTTTGTTTGCGAAGAGTACAAGGTACCCTTGTTTCCAACAGAAATATATGCCCGTTCCATTATTTCGAAAGATGTCAAAACTCCTAGGACACTTCTAAATATTCACACGCACGAAATAATAGCAAATTATTTATTGACCGTTTTCTTAGAAGGTCCGTGCTTAACTTTATACATTGAAATAAGCAAAATAAGCATGAACTTTAAATTAAGCTTGGAAACTCTGAATAAGCAAAATAAGCAATTCCAAGCAAAAGTTTAACTTTTCTGCCCTGATAATAGGCTAGACATTTATAAAAAAATATTAATAATTAAATAAACAAATCCCTAATATTCCGGGATTCTTAGCAAAGCGGGGATCAAGGGATTAATATCCCTAATACATACATACATGTTTGTACCAACCCAGTAGAATTTGGGATCATCGTTCAATTGCTCGATGAGACCTCTCTAGCAACTCCCCATTGCTCCCTATACTTCTGTGTATAACCATGTTATTTTGTATGCTCCCTTTAACACTGGATGTCATAGGAGGGCGAGTAATCCCTTTGACCTCCCAAACAAGCAATCAGGCAATGCATACAGAAATATGATACATGAAACCTCCTTAACGAGTAATACAGGAGCACCATCAGAACAATCTCCCACAAGCCTCCTAAAGAAACCATGAACCAGAATTATATCCCAGAAATCCAATTTATTTTTTTGCCAAAATATTTTTTTAAAGCTATCCATCTTTAAATACTTAAGAAGTACCCTGCAAACCAAAGTTCCCGAAATCTTAACGAAATCTTTAGGAGTATCTGATTTCTGTAACGATTTTTTTCCGAATCTTCAAAGAAAATTATATGAAGTGGTTGACACGAAGTCGTAAAGAAATTTCTGTACGAAAAATAAAGAAAATTCTGAAAAAAGTCTGCAAGAAATTCTTCACATAGCAGCATTATTTACATTTCTTTACCGATTTTCTTCCGAAATTTCGTAAAAGAATGGAAGTGTGCGTAATTTATTTCATTTTAGAAAATTCGGCAAAAAATCGGATGGGATCTTTCCGAATTCTTTAAAAATTCTTTACGATTCAGAATACTCTGTAAAAATGGTTTGCAGGGTATATGCACTCCGGGTCAAGCTCGGTCAACCTGGTACTTTTATGTAACTACTCAAAATGATATTTATTTCTGGGCATTGCAAGAAATCCAAAAAAAAAATAATTTTTTACTATGCTTTTCTACTGCCCCCTACTTGCTCCTTAGGAGAACAGCTCACTTTCAGTCCGGTTGGGTAATTACAAAATGAAAATTACATTTTTAAAACAGTTTTTTTTTTACCTAATTTGGGCCCCTAACCAGGTATACGATCTCCGTGGTTTTTCCACAAAAAAAAAATATCTCAGAAAAAACATAGGAAACACGTTTATCGGTCGAAACCGTTTATTACAGTAAGATTAGGATCGAGCACTGGTAATCAGACGATTTTTTCCATAGGAGTTGATTTTTTCAATACTACAACAGCAAAAAGTTATGACACATACAAATTTTTAACGCTAAGGGGACATTCACAAACATGACAAAATGTTAAAAAAAAAATGAAAAGTATAAATTTTAAAAAGATTTTTCCAGATTTGCATAGCAATTAAATGGACCCTTATTCAGTAAAAAATTACAACTGTTGGTAGTAGCGATTTAAAAATATTAGTAAATATACGCGCTGGCATGACGTTACAAAAAACAAGTGGATTTTGACTTCGATGACAAAATTGCAAAACTCTGCGAATTGGGCAAAACTGTTTGTATAAAGGGTTTTGTTATAATATTGGAAATGTTTAAGGTTAAGTTTTTCTTTTCTGCTTAAGGAAAAAAGTTGAAAACTTTTGTTTTCAAGATTGCGACCAATCTACGACCCACAAAAAATCGTAAGAACTCCGTAATTTAACATAACGGGAGATAAGATTAAATACTCCGATACCTGACTTTTTTAATTTTTTTATTTTTTTTAATTTAAATAGTACATACATACGTACCTGTAGAGAACATGGAAAACCACGTATGCATGTACATTAGGGTGGTCCGAAAATGCATGTGAAAAAGTAAAGTCGTAATTTTTATGCTCTCACCCCCTAGGATTGTTCTATACCGAAAAAATATGCCCCTATTTTTTTACTTTGCTATCAAAAAATATTTAGAGGTCGCTCAAAGCGCTCAAAGTTTTCCATGTATTTTATATGGGGAAAAACACCTTTTCGCAGAAATGGTATAGAATTCTTAAAATTCAATATTTTTCTATCGGAAAACTCTGTTTATCTGTAGGAGATTCCCAATAATGATACCCAATTGTTTATTTAACCATTTTTTCATCGCAACTACAAATTAAAGAACCCCGAAAAATATAATGGGGGAACAATAAAAAAATCGTTAGTATTAAAAAATGGTTAAATAAACAATAGGGTATTATTATTGAAAGNATATTTTTCTATCGGAAAACTCTGTTTATCTGTAGGAGATTCCCAATAATGATACCCAATTGTTTATTTAACCATTTTTTCATCGCAACTACAAATTAAAGAACCCCGAAAAATATAATGGGGGAACAATAAAAAAATCGTTAGTATTAAAAAATGGTTAAATAAACAATAGGGCATTATTATTGAAATNACCCAATTGTTTATTTAACCATTTTTTCATCGCAACTACAAATTAAAGAACCCCGAAAAATATAATGGGGGAACAATAAAAAAATCGTTAGTATTAAAAAATGGTTAAATAAACAATAGGGTATTATTATTGAAAGTCTCCTAAAGAGAACCAGAGCTTTCCGATCGAAAAAGATTGATTTTCAAGAATTCTATACCATTTCTACGAAAATTGGTTTTTTCCCCATATAAAAATACATGGAAAACTTTGAGCGCTGGCATATGCCGACGACATCGATATTATCGGTGAAAAAAGGGCTACCTCTGTTTTGCCTTCTCGGGATTGGATATAGGAGCAAACCGAATGGGTCTGGTGGTGAACGAGGACAAAACGAAGTATCTCCTGTCAGCACACAAACAGTCAGAGCATACGCGTCTTGGCACCCACGTCACTGTTGACAGTTACAAGTTTGAAAAAGTAGACGACTTCGTTTATTTGGGAACCAGCATTAACACCAATAATAATGTCAGCATGGAAATCCAACGCGGAATCACTCTTGCCAACAAGTGCTACTTTGCGCTGAGTAGGCAATTGAGAAAGAAAGTCCTCTCGTCGTACAAAGATCACACTCTATAAGTCACTCATTATGCCTGTGCTGGTGTATGGCGCGGAGGCATGGAAAATGAAAGCATCTGATGAGGCGGCTCTTGGAGTTTTCGAGAGAGATTCTGCGAAAGATTGTATGTAGATTGTATGTCTTCAGTTGGCATTTCCAATTGGCGTCAGTTAGCACAAAAGAGAAATGACTTGCGTGCTGTTTTGGACTCGGCCAAAATCGCTTAGGCGGTTACAGCGCCAATAAAGAAGAAGAGCGACCTCTAAATATTTTTTGATTTCAAAATAAATAGGGATATACTTTTTTCGATATAGAACAATCCTAGGAGGTGAGACCATTACAATGCCGACTTTACTGCCTTTGGACCTCCCTAATGTACATAGGACCTTCTTCGTCGCCGCCGCCGCCGATTCTTTTTCAATTTGAGGACGTCGCCGCCGCAAAGCCAGTCGGCGTAAACCTCTAGTCCCTACACACAATATTTTATTAATGACTTGTTTTTTTTTTTTAATAATACTAGGTGCATTCTTTTGTAAAGGAGCGACAAAAGAACACTCAGCTCGAGTAAAATTTCCTTTTAGCTACTTAAGCAACCCTGTTGGTATCTGGCAGTAAACGTGATAAGTTGAATGGGGCTTATATACAAACACCAATGGAAATGAGTAATTATGCGAGGTAATCGCTTAATATATGCATATACTTATTTAAAACATAAATCATGAATACAAGGAAACAAAAATTTCCCTAACCACTTTCCCATCAACAATTCACAATAGAGCAGTTTTTGCATTAAACAACACTACACTTCTGGTCGGTTATTTTTTAATCGACCTGGCTGAACTCGAATAAATAGCCAAGTTTGTGTTGTTCCTTAGCATGTATTTCGTAATTTTACCGAGTGTTCTTTTGTAGCTCGGTTGCAAAAGAATGCGCCTACTAAAATCAGACGAATAAATAATCGTCGAAATAAATCCGTTTTTTATGACATACAAATAAAATTAGCAATATTGTATTACGTGACCCCTTCAATGAAGTCGTTTCGACGATTTATTTTCAAGGGAGAGGTTATATAATTGAGGAACTCACATTTAATTTACAACAAAAAAGCCCGAAAAA